GCACTAAAAACTGAAGCCGCTGGATGCACAGCGCTAGGTCACCTCTGACAGGCTTTGTCACAGCTGGACCGTCAGAGATGCTTAAGCGACTGGGTCAGCTATGGCTGCCCAGCAGAATTCTTCAATTAGCAATTTAGAACCACAGTCTTTGATCATCTCACTGTTTAAAGATACGGAACCTGGAAGCTGGGCTCATGAGTCTGTTGTCAAGCTTTAGCGGTGCTGGAAGAAGCACCTCTGAGCTCACTGATGGCTGTTGGCTGGAGGCTGGAGGCATCAGTCCCTTGCCACTTGTCCTTTACACACGGTTTCTTAGGATGTGCTTTCTTCAGAGAGAGTGAACAGAACAAGGGAGAAGCCACATTCTCCTTTATTGACCTAACTGATGAAGTAATAGACCATTACTTCTGGTGCATTGTGGAGAAAGGGACTACATTAAGTCTGAACACCAGAGGATGAAATTATTAGTGGCTTTATTGAAATCTGGATACTCGCAATATTTATAGGTGTTTATATAAAACATGAGTAGCATTGACCATCCTTGCAGTGGTTGAAGGGTCAGCAATACAGCTGTGACCAGAAAGCTGTGTTTCCAGAGGGTTGAGGCAGATAGGCATGAATTAAGGAGGAAGGTAAGCCATTAAGGAGTCCAGTGTCTTTCAGAGGAGTGTGGTTGTGGGAATTTTTGCTAGCAGTGACTCTAAAGTTACTGTAGGAATTAGAAACAAGTTTGTTTTATTTAAATTAGAGAAAATAACAAGAATTGGTTCATCTTTGTAAGAACAATATTTAAGATTGGTATTGTTGGGACTGGAGACCTGACTCCATGCTTAAGAGTACCAGCTGCTCTTCCAGAGGTCCCAGGCTCAAGTCCCAGCATCCGTATGGTGGTTCTTAGTCATTCTTAACTCCAATTTCAGGGGCTTCATCTCCCTTTCTGACCCTCTTGAGCACAAGACTTGAAAGTAGTATATACAGGGGGCTGGAGAGATGGCTCAGTGGTTAAGAGCATTGCCTGCTCTTCCAAAGGTCCTGAGTTCAATTCCCAGCAACCACATGGTGGCTCACAACCATCTGTAAAGAGGTCTGGCGCCCTCTTCTGGCCTTCAGGCATACAGACAGAATATTGTATACATAATAAATAAATTTAAAAAAAAAAGAAAGTAGTATATACATGCATGAAAGCAAAATATTCATGTACATAAAATTAAAAAAAAACCAAAGATATTGCTGTTGCCAAGTGAACTAGAAAAGCAGTCAGATCTTGGGGACAAATTGAGTCAGTTTCTTATTTAAAATTGAATATTGGCTGGGGAAATGGCTCAGTAGATAAAAACACTAGCCATGCAATTTTGAGGACCCCAGCAAACATGTGACAAAACTAAACAGGCAGGCTATAGAGATGGCTCAGTGGTACTGGCTGCTCTTCCAAAGGACCGGGGTTTAATCCCAGCACCCACGTGGTAGCTTACAACTGTAACTCCAACCTAGGGATCCGGCAGTCTGCTGGTCTCCATTAGTGCTAGGCATGTATGCAGACAAAACACTCATACACATAAACATAAATTTAAAAAAAGGAATGAGCTCTACTGTGCCTCATAATAATTAAAAAACGCCAAAACTCCCAGCACTTTAGAGACAGATACAGGAGATCCTAGGATAAGCTGGCTGCTGGACTACTGAGATTGTGAGCTGTCCTCAGGGGGCCTTGTGCCCACACATGCATGTGAAGAACAAAGAAAACACTGGCCCTACTTCTCCACGTAAGGAGCGGAAAGAATCAAAATGAATACTGCATATAAAAGTTCCTTGTAATGTGTAGCCAGCCTGTTCTCTAAATTGTTAATAAGCATTGAATTATCTAAGTGGATTTATATTTTTGTTTTGCTTTGTTATGGCTGTGCCTGCTCTGCCATTTGTCTTAGTGTTATTGGTGAAGAAACTAGAAATGTTTCTTGTACATAAGATAATAATTGAGAAAAGGCAACAGCAGCATAATTTAGTATTTTTTATAGCAGGAAGTATGTTTGAGTATTTGGTGTCTTATCTTTTTTTAGAATGATCTTGAAATACTACTTAATTCTCCTAGTCATTTCCAACACTGAGGACTCTGCCCAATAAAAACATTTAATCTTTTTATTGCAAACAGTTAAGGAGGAAGGAGAAAAAGACCCAGGGAGGTTGACAAGGATATCTGCTGGTAGCTAGGGCTCAGTTTTTCTCTAGCCTTGTTCCTTAAAGAGCCCTTAGCTCCAGGAGGTCGGGAACAGAGCTGTGATTTCAAGCCTGGGTTTCTGATTTTTTTCCACCAAATATATTTTCGTTTTTAATGGTTAAGAGAACCACAAAGAAATATGAAGGAAGCCGGGCAGTGGTGGCTCACGCCTTTAATCCCAGCACTTGGGAGGCAGAGGCAGGTGGATCTCTGTGAGTTTGAGGCCAGCCTGGTCTACAAGAGCTAGCTCCGGGACAGGCTCCAAAGCCACAGAGAAACCCTGTCTCGGGGGGAAAAAAAGAAATATGAAGGAAAATACGTTTAGGAGTAGGCATTAGGTAGGTGATACAATATGCACCTAACCTGTGAGCTCTTGGGGTCAATCCTTAGCGCCATACAAATTTATACAATCAACTCTAATGGGTTATAGTGCCCCCTGTGACTTCTGTAATTATTCCCACTCGGGAACACATGTTCATAATGAGAAGCTAAAACAGGCAATTTTTATTCTGTACCTAGCTACATTCCCTATTCCAGGTTATTTGGGCAGTTTCTGGTTTTTTTTTTTTTTTTTTTTTTTTTTAGACAGGGTTTCTCTGTAGCTTTGGTGCCTGTCCTGGAGCTTTTGTAGACCATGCTGTCCTCGAACTAGCAGAAATCCACCTGCCTCTGCCTTCCAAGTGCTGGGATTAAAGGTGTGCGCCACCACCGCCCGACTTTGGACAGTTTCTTTAAACAGTGAAGGGTCACAAGTGCTCCATGAACTACTTTAGTGGATTGGGTTAGTCAAGGGCTAGCACTGTGAATAAGACCTACTACACTGTTACTAGTGGTGGAACAGCAGATTCTAAGGAGTCACGTGCCCGAGGCTGTGCTCTCAGATCTGACCTTCCGTGTCTTTTCGAGGCATCTGAAGGATTGCCAGTAGAGCATCTTAGAAACACAAACCCATTCAGTGTGTGTGTCTAGGTCCCTACAGTTATGTAGCGCTTTAGTAAACAATCAGACCATTTCTTGCCATCAGTGAAGTGAAGTAGCTGTTCCCCTGAAAGGAGCTGGGAGGTTCCTAGGGCATAGTTAGGCCATTAGTTATGCCCAGAGATGTTCTACCTGAAAACGGAGGCCCCAGGGACCGCGGGCCTGTTCGGAGGTTAGTATATGAAGTATCAGATCTGGGGTTTCCCCTTGTAAGCAACTTGGTTTCACGTTACCTCTCCCTGCAGGAGATCAACGAGACAAGACGGAAGCATGAAACACGTTTGGTGGAGGTGGACTCTGGGCGCCAGATTGAATATGAGTACAAGCTGGCCCAGGCTCTGCAGGAGATGAGGGAGCAGCATGATGCCCAAGTGAGGCTGTACAAGGAGGAGCTGGAGCAGACCTACCACGCCAAGGTGAGCGCTGCGGCTCCGTTTGCACCTCAGGCGTCCTCAAGAAGGCGATTAAGTTTTATTTATCTATTTTATGTGTATAGGTGTTTTGTTTGTACATCTGCATACCAGAAGAAGGCATTGGATCCCATGGAATTATAGAAGGTTGTGAGCTACCATGTGTGTGCTGGAAATTGAACCTGGGTCCTCGGTGAGCAGCCAGAACTCTTAACTGCTGAGCTCTCTTCATCCACAGTGATCCTTTTTAGAAACCAGAACGAGGGTCTGGAGAGATGGCTCAGTGGTTAGGCGCTCGGGCTGCTTGCTCTTCTGGGGCATGAATTCAATTCCCAGCACCCACATGGCAGCTCGTAACTGTCTATAACTGTAGTCCCACGGGATACAGTACTCTCCCTTTGCATTCAGTGTGGCGTACAAGTATACACGCAAACAAAATACCCATACACATAAAATAATGAAAGAAAAAGTTTAAAGAAACTTTAATTAGAAAAAAAGAAGGAGCTGGAGAGATGACTCAGAGGTTAAGAGCACTGACTGCTCTTCCAAAGGTCCTGAGTTCAGTTCCCAGCAACCACATGGTGGCTCACAACCATCTGTAATGAGGTCTGGCGCCCTCTTCTGGCAGGTATGCTTGCAGGCAGAATACTGTATAGCACTGTGTACATAATAATTCTTAAAAAAAATAGAAGAAATGATTCTCTTATTGAGGAATAAACATAATGAATATATTTTTAGTGTGCCTTCATATAGACTAAGTGCTACTAAGATGTAGATGGAAATGGGTTATTCCAGTATTACTAGAAGTAAAAGGTTATGTTTGTGTCGGCGACCACTCACGTCACATCAGAGCAGTTAAGCCTGAAGCATCTTAAATACCGTGCAGTCCCAAGTACTTCTGGAGCCTTTCTGCATCCACATTGCCAAGTGTATGTAGATGTGTTGCTCCTTTGGGTGCCTGTTCTGTTTTATAGAAAGGACAGTGGGAACTCAGACAGTGTTCATTTTAGAAGTGTGCAGACAGCCCACATTCATGAACACATCACATGACACGTCTTGGTTTTGTTTGCAAATGATTTTTCTCTTATGTTAAATGTTAGGTGACTAAATGAAAAATATTAGTTTGAGGCAGAGTTAGACAATCAACGCAGTCATTTAGAATAATTTCCACTGCTCTGCCTCACACTGATCATGTTAGTGCTGGCCCTCTAATGAAGCGAGTTGAAGCCACCCCGCACTTGCTGAGTGCTGGCATTGAGCTAGACAGTTGAAGAGCGGAAGAGCCCCGCAGACTGGATTAGGGAAGAAACATTGAAACACCTTCCCATCTCTAGTTCTCATTCCTTTCTCTAACACATATAGATGGTTTGCTTTACAAACATCACTACAGCCAAGTTTTTATTGTCGTTTGTTAGTGCTACCCTAGACAGTAAGTGTTCAGTGGAATACTGAACTAGATTCATTGAAGTTGTTTAAATCCATAGCTTTAGAAGCCAGTGAGAAAAGACAGTTGTCTGGTGATGGCGTCAGCGGACCAGTCACGATTTTCCTGTTTCATCAGCCAGTTACCGTCAGGGCTTAGGTTGGAAGTGCCTTGGTGAGTCCTGCTTCCTCATTTGTTGATTAAGACTGAAGGCTTCCTGCTCTTACAGCTGGAGAACGCCAGGCTGTCCTCAGAGATGAACACTTCCACGGTCAACAGTGCCAGGGAGGAGCTGATGGAGAGCCGCATGAGGATCGAGAGCCTCTCCTCACAGCTCTCTAACCTGCAGAAAGAGGTGAGTAGGCCTCTGTCTGGGGCAGAGTGGGAAGTTCACTGGAAGGCTGGCCACCTGTCATCACATAAATATCCTGTAGCTTGGTGCACACCATCAGTCCCGGCACCTGAGAGACAGGTACAAGGACTGCAAATTCAAGGCCAGCCTGGATTAGATAGTGAATGCATGGCCAGCCTGGGCTATGTAATGAGATCTGTCTCAAAATCCCCCCTCCTTCCCAAAACACCTGAACAGCACCTTATTCCTAATTATTTAGGGGGTTATGTGGCGACCTGGATCCCACTCTGCACACATACACCATTGGTGTGCTGAGACAGTGCTCAGTCTCACCTCTGCGGCCCTGCTCCCACTCTGGACACACACACCCATGGTGTGTCACGATGATAGTGCTCAGTCTCACCTCTGCGGCCCTGCTCCCACTCTGGACACACACACCCATGGTGTGCCACGATAGTGCTCTGTCTCACCTCTGCGGCCCTGCTCCCATTCTCTTCTTCTCTTCACACTTTGAAAACAAAATGAAAGAAAACAAAATTGTGGGTGAAATGCCTTTTCCCCCCCTTGCAATTGAAATTACTTAATGGTTATGAATCTCTGCATCCATTAGTAAGCCACTGGCCTCAACTTACCCATAAAGCTCAGTGACAGGTGACTGCATTTCTGTTTGTTGATGGGAAGCTGCCGTGGCGGCATGGCTCCAGGTGAAGTGAATGTAGGCCTGGATGTGGCTCTGAGTCAGTTTCACACAGAGCGATGCTGGGTAAATAAAGCTGACACGTGGAATCACGTGGATTCAACAAACATTGCCGCTCTCTTTAGTTATGTGGGAAGTAATTCCAACTTTTGTTTTCTTTCCTTTCCTGAGCAGAGAAACTTGTTTAAACTTTATGCTATTTATTGAGCAAACTTTTCTGTTTCTTTTCTCTTTCTTTCTTTTTTTTTTCTTTCTTTCTTCCTTTCTTTCTACCAAAATCTTCTTAGAGGTATAAAAGCATTTATTGTGAGCTTTGGAAAGTGAAACAGAAAGCAGTCACCTGAAATAGGGCAATAAATAGCCAAAACGGATTTTTATGTGGCTGCCTGTGCTCTTTATTACTCGTGTCATAAAGCTTTCCATTATCTCAGAATTAGTCTGGAGTTTGTCCTGCTAGGAGTTTGAACTTTTCATCTAGCAATGATCAAGCCACAGACCATGGCGAGTTTAATGACTTGCCCAGAGGCGTCAGGATACCAAAGGGTTTTTCTCTTCCTTCCCAGGATTCTTTCATACCCAACTCTTGTTGAAAATGTTCTTTGAGGAATTTGTTCTCTGTTGCACCTTCTGCCTCAGTCCTCTTGGGCTGCCCAACAAAATGTTATAAACTGTGCACACATGTGTGCACACATGCCCCCCCCCCCCAATCTTGGGTCTTCATGGTTGCTTGTCGAGCACGTCACTCACTGAGCTAGTTGCATAGGCCCTGGTTCAGGATTGGGAAGGCTAAGACCAGGGAGGACTGAATGGTGAGACTATTTCCATTTCCTTAGATCAGACTGTATCATGTCTTCTCGTGGTTGGAAGGCAAATACACATACTACTGAGAGCCTGTTTTATGAAAGTACTAACTCTCGTTGGGAGGAATCAACAGAAAGATCGTCTCTCTTAGTTCTGCCATCTTGGAGAGTAGGATTTTCAACATGTGACTTTGGGGCAACATTAACTGGTAGCTTCTGGAAATGGACCATTGTGCTCCTTCCATGAGTTGATCAATACCAGCCACTCACCACTCCTCATCAGATGGTGCTTGCATTTGGCTTCACTTTTCTTGAGGCTGATCTTTGTTTTATAGCCTAGGAGGCAGAGACTGACTGTGGTTAAATAGTGGTAGGTCTGGGGACTTGAATCAGGTCTAGGTCCTGACCCAGTTTCAATCTTTTCCTTGTTTCTCTGCTGTTTTTACTCCTTCCCTATAAGTGCCTTCAGGTTGGTGGATTTTAAGCTGCCATCCTTGGGGTTTCTAGGAGTCTACTGCCCTAGTAAACAAGCTCCAGCTAGGTTCTACTTTATCAGGGCAGAGGGAATCTTTTCTTCTAGGCAGTACTGATAGCTTTTATGTGGAGGAATAAATGAAGACATTCACACATACATGTACGTGTAGTGTAGTCCTCAAACTTGCTGGGTACATGGGCAGGCTTCAGACTTGCCCAGTCTTCCTGCCTTATACTCCAAGTACTGGGATTGCAGGTATGTGCCACTGTATCCAGCTTGATAAGAGGTTTTGGTGATTGTTTTCCATCTTAGAAAAGAGAACAACAACAAAATACCTGCTTAGTGCTCTTCTGTTGTGTGTCTCAGTGTGTTGAGTCATGGTAGTTTCATCATGCTGCTGTTGGGACATAAGGCTTTCCTCCGGCCAATGTGACCCATCACTTATGACGTTCTTACATTTCAGATTGAAGCAACCTTCAAGAAATACTTTTAGAAGATAGGTTTAAGTGTATAGCGATATTGTTTTGGCACTAGGAATTTTGTACTTATGTTTGATCTGAGTCTGCCTGCCTTACAAGAGTCTACAGTGGCCACCAGAGACAAGTGGCTCTGGTTTTCTAACACCCAGCTCTGGGAACTATTACTGCATCTGCATCATAAATGAATCAGACCACTGTGTTATGAATTTTAAGTAAGACTGGGAGCTAGCACAAGGACTCAGTAGTGGTTAAGTGACTTAGTGTTCTCTTTGAAGATCCGGGTTTGGTTCCCAGAACCCAAAGTACAATTCAAAGCCATCTGAGTCCAGGCTCAGGGAATCTGTCACTCCTTTCTGACCTTTGTTGTCACCGGGCACTCATCTCATGGTCTATATACATGATTGCAGACAAAACACCCAGATCCATAAAAATAAATGAAGCTTAAATATAAATCTGAGATCATCGATGTCTGGCATAAAGTTGTAAAGTTGAGGCAGGATCTGGAGGTAAGCTTGTTCCATCCCTTTGTTGTATAGTGTGGGTGCTGGCTTAGGCTAGCCACAGCTGTCCAGGAATGAATGGCAGATCTAGGGGCATTTGGGTCTGACCTTTTTTTACGTGTCTACAAAGGTGTAACCAGATAGTTAATGTAAAACTTAAACATTTCCATTTAAAATAATGAAACAACTCATAGTGGTTTAAGAAGGTTTTATACCTAGGTTGATTTTTCACTCTTAATTCTGCATTGTCAAAAGCACTGTGCGGTAGAGACATTTGGTTTCGATGCATTGTCTCGGTGCTAACTTGTTGAATTTCTTCCCATTTATTTATTGTATGTGCATGTATGTGTGCTTGTGTACCATGGCACACATGTGGAGGGGAGAGGATGATGTGTGTGGGAGCTGAGTCTATCTCCTCCTTCCATGGGGATTCTGGGGATTGAACCTCAGAGGACAAGTACCTTCTGCCCTCTGAGGCATTGCACAGGCCCGGCCCTCCATTCAGGGTTTGTTTTGTGGCTCACTGTGTCCTCTGCATCCCACATGTGAAATAAAGTGAAGAGATTCAGGACTGGGCATTTTGAATTTTGCTTGTTTAGAAAGGAACTAGAGGCCAAGTGGACCCCTTCCAGCATGGTTCCTCAGTGCAGTTCAGTGGAGGATCCGAGGCAGCCGTATGGTCTCCCTCTCTTTGGCTGTACCCTCAGTAGCTGATTTGTGTGGAGGTCAGAGGCTGCTTTCTGGAGTTGGTTCCTCCCCCTTTCACCCTGTGGGTTCCAGGCATGGAACTCTGGTTGTCAGGCCTGGTGGCAAGTGCCTTTACTGGCTGTATTGGCCAAATTTTAGATTCAGAGTAACGTAGAAACAGGACAGTCCTGTTGTTTGCTTGCGTTAGCATCTTGAGTTACCACAGGACATTGGTCAAATGCAGAAACTGGCAGCTGTGTATTGCTGTTGACTAGACTGTAGACTACATGGGTTCTGCCAATTTTTCTCTTGTTGCCTTCTTTCTGTTCCAGGGAACCACATACTTCCTACTTTCCTGGTCTACAGTCTTGTAGGATATGCCTGTTTTTTTCTTTTTCTTTTTTTTTTGTTTTTTCATGGCTTTGAGTTTCAAGGAGAATGGGCCTGGTGTTCCTCTAGCTACTCTTGAGTCTGGGTTTGCCTAGTGCTTGTCACATGATTGGCCAGGCTGTGGGTTTCAGGTGACCATCACTGGGGATGTGTGACTGGTGGCGGTTACCAGCTGTCTTTTACTGTCGATAGTCAGTGGTCTTTATTTTCTGCTGTCTGGCCCACCAAGACAAAAATTAATAAGTTCCATGTCCTAGTTATAAAACTGCTCTATCAAAGCCACCGAGCCACCTCTCTAGCTCGACCACTCTTGGAGGTTTTGTTTTCCTGTGTTGCTGGGGATTGAACCCAGGACCTTGTGCATTTTATGCAGGGACTCCACTGAGCCACAACTCTAGGATCATCTATTTCCTGGTTTTAAAATATACTTTCTGTTTACCATAAATTTTCTGTGTCCCAGCCATAGAATCAAATATTTCTCCAAGAAGTTTTCTTTACCGGATAATGGTTTGTGAGATCTGGACACGAGAGTGCTATTCCTGTGTCTGCTTCTGGGTCCTCATAGGACAGAGTTAGCGCTGGCCCCCAACACCCACACCTGTGTATCTGAGCATTTTCATGGAGCAGGTTATACACTCCCCAACACACATTTGGACCCCCATAGAGCAGGATACCCCCCCCCCTGGGCCTTGTAGAACAGGCTGTTTACCCCCCCCCCCCCCCACACACATCTGGGCCTTCTCCTAGAATGGACATGAGGTGCAGGTGTGCATGCCTGAGCAAACACACAGTATGCTTTTGGTGTTGGTAACTGCTTCCTGGCCATCTTATGAAATAGATTGTGCACGCACATGCCTTCTCATAGAACAGGTTATATACCCCTTGTGCACACATGCACATGCTAATTTAGCATAGCCATAATCTGTAATTGTTTTTCTGTCTAGTCATATGTACTTATATTAAGTTTTTGTTTTAATTTTTTGAGACCAGATTTCTCTGAAGCTTTGGAGCTTGTCCTGGAACTTGCTCTATAGACCAGGCTGGCCTTGAACTCACAAAGATCCGCTTGTCTCTGCCTTCAAGTGCTAGGATTAAAGGCGTGCACCACCACTACACAGTGTATTTATATTAATATTAAGTTAAGCAGAAATTCATGCACTTGTCTCATAATACTGCAGGGTTATTTTTTTTGGCTTCTCACCTGTTTGTAACCTCTGTCTGGGAAATTTTGTTTTTATCATCTAGTTACTTGTTGAGCCCCAATATGTGCTTAAAATTTTGAGCCAGTACTTATTCAAGGAATAAATTCTAATAGTGCAGTATTTAGTACAGTGTCTTTAAATTTAACTTTGTTCACAGTAAGTCCCTGTCTCTGCCACTGGTGTGGATACTTGGGATTCTGAGGGCCTTGGCTTCCATCATTCTTTTTGAGCTGATTACCCCTGTCATTTCCTGAGGCTACTGAGAGGAATTCTGTCATGGAGAATGATTACCCAGTGAGCTACAAGGTTTTGAGGATGAATTTCATGGTGTAGAATGTGATTTTTTTTTTTTTAACTCTGTAGGCCAGATACAGCTTCTGTATTTCTGGTAACGTTTTTATACATATCACCATGTAGCACAGGGCATGGTGGGACTACCCTAAAGAGACTGGCACATTCAATACGGTAGCCAGACCGTTTTCTTTGGTTT